TGTATCTGAATAGGAACAAAAAAACCATGAAAAATGGCACTTAAAGAAAGAATGTGCCACTCGTTGCAAGTGTATGCAAGTCAATAGAAGGACAAATTCCAAGCCTTCTTGGCTTCTTATTCCCTTATGATTAGCAACTAGAATGGAATCCTCCGGGATTCCCACCAATTTTTTGTTGGTTTACCTTCGCATTTCTCTTTCTTTCTTCATGAAACACAAATATGTGAATTCACATTTTTTAATTCACCGGCTAACGTAAATCTCAAGTGGACATAATCATTGTCTATCACTTACATATTTGAAATTTTAGACACGTCATACGAATTTAGTACAAAATTAATGAGTTTTAGTGGGATCGAGTAATAAACAAATGAATCTATTAAATTTGTTAAATAAATAGTTTGACACTAACCACGACTTATAATCAAGACAAACTCGACACGACAAGATTTCAGCTATATGAAATCATAAATAAATTGGGTATGAATTAAATAAATTTTAACAAAATATGAATTAAACGTTACACGAACCCAACTAGCCACGATCCATAATCAATCCTAACTCGATACATCTGTTAAACTCGGATTTTATGAATACTTCGAACTTAAAAAGTTATAACTTGAAACCCCCCCACCTCTTCTTATTGCATCACTGAACCAATACGTGTACGGGTTTTACCTTAGTGATATCAGCAGTAGTATTAGTGGGATGCTAAGACGCAAGCAATTGAATGGAAAGGCTTTTGATTATGGAGATGTGAGGTGGAGTCACTAACCCAGTGTTGTTATCATAGTCATAGAGGATGAAACACACACACACACAAGGTCAAGGCATTTGGTGCACGCTTATGCCTCTCTGCCTATTGGTTTATCAGTAAACTATGGCCACCTCTGCACAAGGCTATAAAGATATTAAGGGGAGAAAAAAAAGTTTGATGTCAGCTCCCCACTTACTCCAAATTTTATTAACCACTGAGTTATCCTCTTAATCATCTTCTTGCTTTTCATCCCGACACATTTTCTATGATTCGTTTGATACAATAGAAAAGTAATAGAATAAAACAATATAAGGGTGAAAGATAAGAGGGATGAGTAAAGTATAATGTTTAGTTTTGAAGAAGAAAAGAGGTGGAATTATTTGTCTTTTTTTTTTCTGGGCCCCAAAATTTATTATCCAAAATCGAGCGAAAAAAAAAAGAAGCAAGTAGGTGCCTCGAAAATGAAAGTTAATTTACTTATATTTCCCTAATGTGTGTGCATTTGAAGTTCACAATCAAACCAATCCCATTGAAGTAGTAGTTGGATTTGAAGGCTGCCCATGAAACGAAACTCGTATATCTATCTCAATACTGTTACAAACTCATAAAGTGGCGTAAAATTGAATCACTCCATTAAATTTTTATAATTAGTGAAGTCTGAAAGAGATAAATGATAGATAATTTTACGTTCATCTGCGAGACGCAAATGGTCGAGTTAGACTCGCTATGTATTATTTGAACACATGAACAATAATCATCGCTTAAAATAAATTTAATCGTATGAGAGTAAATAATCTATTCAAGTTCCTATAACATTTTTTTTTTTTTACCTCAAACCCACATTTTTAGCTACATTCCTGGTTCCAAACTATATCATCATCAGTAATACCAATAGTATTCTTGATCAATTGGAATTAGTGTAGTGGACTAGAGGATAATAATTGATTTCTTAGATATGCTGTTTGCTGGTTCTAATCTACCATTTTCTCGGGATTGTCTTGACCTCTTTTTTAAGTTCATTGTACACAAGTAATATTCCATTTAATGGTGATATATACCCCTGTACTGTACACCAGGAAAAATATATATTATATTATCTCTAATGTCTCTGATTTGTGAAACATGTTTTTGCTCAAAGTGGTCATATATCATAGGGTTATCTTTCTTAAACAATCTGGACATGGCCTTTCCCTTTGGCATCTGTCCATAGGGGGAGAACACATGCCTTTACTTGGGAATCATCATCTTGTAATCCATGGGTTTTCTAATTCAACCGAATAATAAGGTTTCCTACTTTTGTTGTGGATTTGTCACTTTTGTTCAGAATCAACAGACCCAATAATGCCCAAAAAAAAAAAAAAAAAATTTAGACATTTTGAGTTTAAATCTTGGTAATTATTTAAGGGCAGGTCGTGAGAATTTTATCTCTTATAAATACCTTAATCCCGGCGTGGATGATCTGCCTCTGACCGGATCAAGGAGAAAATTAGTCGAGGTACACGTAAATTAGTTTGGATATCATTGACCGTTAAACTTAAAAAAAATAGCCAAAAAAAATAAAAAAATACAGACCCAATACAACTTAGAATTTCTCTCTTAAAGTTAAATATGCCCCTAAAACCCAATTGTCTATATATATTTAGAACTAATCCGGGCCCCTTGCATACTTTTCCCCATCAAATAAATCATGTAATTATCCAAAACCCGACATATTCTTTCATTAGAGTGATTAAGAGTACAAAAGAAACTCGAATTTAAGAACTTCACGTTTAAAAAGTATGCTCTTTTTCTTGCCTAGTAGTTGATTGCATGACACTAAGGCCACAAAAGCTTCTTATTGTGAAGAGAGTTTGTCTATTTCATTGAACGATTAAGACCAATTATTAGTTTGTATGATATTAGTTGATTATATCTATTTCTAAGAAGGTTCTTGTGGTAGAATAGAGTTTATATACCCCATCGAAAAGAAAAAAGAAAAAAAGGAAGAAATAGGGCCACTCAAAGTTTAATATATGCCATTAATAAGATTTTTATATATTATTAATTGACTTCGGGTTGTTGTGTATTGGATAATATATGAGTCACATCTCACCCATTTTACGAATGTTTATTTGTTCAATGCTCCATGTATGAGCCTAAAAGAACCACGTGAAAAAGACATGAAAATGAGGCTTGTTTGACAGACAATTTAAAAGTTCATCCTATAAATGCGAATACTTCTTAAAGAGATTGTTTAGTTGTTTTCCATAATTAGCCTTAATTTTTATAATTAAATATTTATTTTAGTCCTACTGCAATCTTAGATTATAAGATAAAAAGTAAAAAAATATATATCCTACTAGAACAATAGTTGTAAATAGACATGATTAGCTAATTGTAGATAAACATTGAAAAATTACGTCCACCAAGTATCCATGATGAATTAAGGTCATACAATTATTAATTTAGAGATAAATGCGTCTAACACCCACCCTGATCATCAATGGCAAAGTGAGATGGATAAGTGGTCCATAAAAGTTCTTAGCATCTTTTCTATTAACATGAAATTAAGATAAAGTAATTAGTCAAAAGGAGTCGGAAAAAAAGAGGGACTTGTGGATGAGGAATAAGAGAAGAAAGAACACCACACACATATCCACTTTTGAAAGTTAAAATCAATTGTGCCTCCAACAAGTGAGAAGTGACACTAAACAGTAAAATATTGATGAGACATTTTCAGAATGTAACAAAGGATGACACGTGTCTTCGGTACTGATGAAACATCTCTACTATGGTCCTGACACGTGTTATCGACATCCTTAGCCCTCCCGTCGAGAGGAATAATTCCCCGAGGGGCCGAGGGACTCCGAGTTGGCATGGATGACATATATCCCTCGGCTCAGATTGATGATATCGGTCCCGATGTGTGTATGCCCCCTCAATGCCGATGTGTCTCTATTGGAATGTGGACTTTTCAACTCCTAAAAGGCTGGTGATTAACATGTGACTAGTATAGGTCAGGCTAGGCTAGACTAGCCATCATAACAGCGTTCTATTCAATGGTGTCAGGAGGCACAAGAACGTAGAAGATTCAACCAAGAAAGAGGAATGGGCACGTGGCATGCGATGTCAGATCAAAGACAAAAGGACTAGAATGCCCCTGTTGACACATGACTTGAGCAAACAGACATTTAATGTATCCCCTTCCTAATGAGACATCATTTAAGGCATGGGGATCGAGAAGTAAAAGATATTAAATGCTCACATGTCTAGGCATTTAATACTCTCTCGCCGAGGGAAGCACATTGAATACTCGGCATGCCGAGGGAAAAGCATCAATTGCTCGGCGTCCCGAGCAGTTAAGGCTGAATGCATTCCCCACTAAAGGAAAGGGGGCACACTATCTCATCTTTAATGATTGTCTACTAGCTATATTATCAGCAATGATGAACTTTTAAAGGTATAAATAGTTTTCAAAAACATATTGCAAAGGTACGCAAGAACTTCTGAAAAGAACCATAGTGTTTTTTTCTTCCCCTCTTTCAAAGATCTGACTTGATTGTCGGAAAAGATACGTCGAAGAACACTCCGGCACCCTTCTAACCTGTTTTTCCGTGTTACAGGATCTCCCTACGGTCTTCCAGGACCGGTCAGGCGACCCAACAAATAATTCATCACTAGTCCTTAGGGCCCTTTGTCCCTCTCAACCTACTTCTTGTTGCTAAAACCCACTTTTAGATGGGTCGAAACTCTACCAGAGACGATCAGAGATTCTGAAAACAAATCTTTCATTCCGTCGGAATTACTGTCTTGTCGAACCACAGTTCATCGTGGTTGAGATCTGTTCTTACTTCTATTATTGTGCAAAAATCAACCCACACACATACACACACACCCACACACACACACACACATATATATATATATATATATATATATATATATATATATATATTTGGTACATTAGTTAGGACGTTCGCACTAATTTATGTGCATTTTAACTAATTTTTTCCTCGGTTCATTCAAAAGCAAGTCACATCCCTCATACACTGCCTCAACGGATTTGCTAAAATTCGAACATAGTATATCTGCTTTCTGAGTTTACAGTTACTGAGCAGTAATATATAACACCAACCCTGAAGTCCTTCTGCCTCTCTCTCTGTGTCTGTGTCTCCGTCTCTCTCTGCTTCAACTTCTGGCTACAAAGAAAGCATATGGAACCCCCTCTCTAGGCTCTGAATCTTCACCACTTCCAACCACACCAATGGGATCACTGCTGAAAAGGGTCTTCAATAGAATTTCTGGGTTTTCTAATTCTTGGAAAAGGAACCAATCACCTAGCAGCAGAAGAACTTTCCATGGGGATGTTGAACAAGAAGAATTTCAGTTTGCAAGCACTCATTGTCTCTCATCATACTACAGTGTCTTTGTTGTCCGCCTCGCCATCATGGTTTGTAAATTGTCCCTGCACTCGTTTGAAAGTTGGTTAATTTGTATATGCAAACAGATACTGTGCCTGCCACTTTGTATGGTTCTAGTAAATTAGGTACATGAGATTGATACAGATGAATTACATGCTATTAAGGCTCAAAGTTTGCGATCCTTTGCTTCAATATTTGAACAAAATTGATAGAAGTCTTGTGCTGAACAATCACAGTTGGCTGTGTGTTGAAGATTTTGAGACTAATGCCAGTTGTGTCCATGCACTTCATCTGTTTAAAGGAAAACCCCAGAAAGAGTTAAGAGAAACACTGAATTTGATTAATATCGCGTGATAATTATTGCCTCCTTGCAGCCACTTGAGATTCTACTGATGCTATTTGTCTCCTTTGCCTTCAATGCACTCGACGTAGAGCTGGTTGAGCTCTATTAGAACTTAATTCTGTGTGCACTCTGCACTTAGCAAACTAACATAATGCTTCATGTCAATGGCTTTATGCAGGTCATGCTGGCAATTTTAATTGGGCTGCTAACCTTATTAACATGGCATTTTACAAGGGTATATACAAGAAGATCACTACAAACTTTAGCATTTGGCCTTCGTACTGAACTTCTACAGCGTCCCTTATTACGAATGTGGAACATCTTGAACTCCACAGTTGAAATAACAACAGCTCAGGTTAAGCTGTCGCAGTATGTAATCAGACGGTACAGCAAGCCTGCTAATCAAGAACAGCAAGTTGAGGTAGTTTCTAAGCCATTCTTTTCTATTCTCTAGATGTTAGATTCTGTTAATTATGTCAGGAACTATCTCGAGAAATTTTTTGTTCAGTAACAATTTATGTTTGACTCCTTTGCAGCTATATGAACTAATGAAAGATGTAACTTGGGCACTATTTGCAAGTCGTAGAGCTCTTAATTCAATAACCATCAATTATAGAAACGGTTTTGTCCAGGCTTTCCATAGAGATCACAGTAGTAACAACACCTTCTACATATACTCTGATCTAGTAAACTATTCGATTAGTGGTTCTGACAAAATCAACATGCTATCATCTCGTCAAGGATGGAATGATCAATCAATACGCAGTAATTTCTCTGCGATATGGTACCGAGAACCACTTGATCCTGTCACTGGTGAAAAGATGGGAAAATCAAGGCCAATCCCTCCAGATGATCTGATTAATATCGCAGGCCTTTCACAAGTACCCGATGGTGCTGCCTCATGGCATATAGCGGTAAGCAAGTACACAGATTCACCATTACTTTCTGCGGCATTGCCAGTTTGGGATGCTTCCAATGAAAGTATAGTGGCTGTTGTTGGTGTTACTACCGCACTTTATAGTGTGGGGCAGTTAATGAAAGAACTTGTTGAAGTCCACAGTGGACACATCTACTTGACCTCTCAAAAGGGTTGGTTGCTGGCTACTTCATCAAATACTCCTCTGTTAATGAATTCAACAAGGGGGCCAAAGCTAATGATGGCAGTTGATTCTGAGGATCATGTGATTCGAGCAGGAGCTGAGTGGTTGCATAGAGCATATGGCAACAAATTTCCTTCAACTAATGAGGTTCACATTGAGAATGCCAAGCTTGGGCACCAGCTGTATTATATTGACTCATTTTTCCTGAACTTAGAGAGACTTCCTATGGTAAGTTCTGACCCTATTATACCTCTCTGCTTTCATTAAAATCCAAGGCCTTACAGTTGCAAGAACTTCAATCAGAGATGTTAGGGCCCTGGTGATTTACATTAAATTTCTCACGTTTAGCAACATTTTGCAGGTTGGTGTTATCATCATTCCAAGGAAATATATAATGGGGAAAGTGGATGATAGAGCCTTCAAAACATTACTAATTTTGATATCTGCCTCTGTATGTATCCTATTTATTGGATGCATCTGCATTTTCATATTGACAAATGGTGTGTCAAAGGAAATGAAATTAAGAGCAGAGCTCATAACTCACTTAGATGCAAGAAGGAAGGCAGAGGCATCAAGCAACTACAAAAGCCAGTTTTTAGCAAACATGAGGTGAGTACCAACTTCGACTTTAAGGTTGTACCCAAAGATAGTACTTTACATATTAGATGAAGGTTTATATTCATTGACTCCATCATGATATGTGAAGTCTCTAACTTGAGTAAATAGACTCAAAATTAAAGAAAAAAATATGAGAAATCATATATGGCAATACACATAAACCATTAGATGCCCTAATAAATCAAAAACAAGGCAGTGGTGGTGAAAGAAACTTTTCGGATCTAGAAGAATATCAGAGTGTGGCAGAAGTGAGAGAATGGTGGGTGGATTTGTCCAATAGAATGCCTTTTGGGCGTTTATTAGGTGAGTTCAGCTTTCCTTTGCTCCCCTTGCCTAATATGCTACATGTTGACCTAAATCAATTAATTTATGGTTCATGTGAGATTTTGTAATCCTTTATACACTATACCTGATACCTGGTTAGTTTTTCCTTAAACATTTACTACAGTTCTGAAGGGATGGAAGGAGCAGGTTCTTACCAAACCAGAAGGATTAAGACTTTAGAACACTAATGAACTATATCAAAAAGAGAGAAACAAACCTTGGTTGTATCTTGGTAAAATTGATTGTTGCTTTCTTCTGCTGCAGTCATGAATTGAGGACACCTATGGCAGCTGTGATTGGATTGCTGGACATTCTAATATGTGATGATTGTATCACAAATGAGCAATATGCTACAATTACCCAGATTCGTAAATGTTCAATGGCTTTACTCCGGCTTCTAAACAACATTTTGGATATCAGTAAGGTGAGAGAATATTGAGAGAAATAAGTCTCTTATATGCATAGTTTTATAAACTAAAAGAAACAAAATNACTCCGGCTTCTAAACAACATTTTGGATATCAGTAAGGTGAGAGAATATTGAGAGATATAAGTCTCTTATATGCATAGTTTTATAAACTAAAAGAAACAAACTATAACATAAACATAAAATAGAACAAATTGAAATCTTTTCCAAATGGCATATTAAATTTTTTTTATGATTTTGGCATTGGGGACATATTAGACCTTCTATCTTTTTTAGACGTTCATACTGAGCATCATGGAATTTTAGAACGTTGAGAACCAGAACTANATAGTTTTATAAACTAAAAGAAACAAACTATAACATAAACATAAAATAGAACAAATTGAAATCTTTTCCAAATGGCATATTAAATTTTTTTTATGATTTTGGCATTGGGGACATATTAGACCTTCTATCTTTTTTAGACTTTCATACTGAGCATCATGGAATTTTAGAACGTTGAGAACCAGAACCAACTGATTGACCAAGTTCTTGGAATAATCTTCATGTCCGTATTTTGAATTTGTGTTGCCATTCTCAACAAAAAAATCGTATACATTTTGTCATATGAAAATTTAATGCAGGTTGAATCTGGAAAACTGGTGCTGGAAGAAACCGAGTTTGATTTGGGGCGAGACCTTGAAGGACTTGTTGATGTATACTCTGTTCAGTGCATTAATCACAANTTCATACTGAGCATCATGGAATTTTAGAACGTTGAGAACCAGAACCAACTGATTGACCAAGTTCTTGGAATAATCTTCATGTCCGTATTTTGAATTTGTGTTGCAATTCTCAACAAAAAAATCGTATACATTTTGTCATATGAAAATTTAATGCAGGTCGAATCTGGAAAACTGGTGCTGGAAGAAACCGAGTTTGATTTGGGGCGAGACCTTGAAGGACTTGTTGATGTATACTCTGTTCAGTGCATTAATCACAATGTGGAGACTGTCCTAGATCTCTCTGGTATGACCATAACCTCATCATATGTATCCCTCCCAAGTCCCATCACAACTCATATAGTTGAAAAAGAGCTAAGCACAAGAATTGAAGTCTTTGATCACTAGTCTTTTTGTTGGTTTCTAAAACCTTTTACCGCTCAAATATTTCTTTTGTAGATGATATGCCAAAAGTAGTTCGAGGAGATTCCGCTAGAGTGCTTCAAATTTTTGCAAACCTAATCAGCAATTCTATCAAGTTCACAACATGTAAGTGCAAAAATCTGCAAGGTCTACATGGTTGCAGCTCCAATAATGAATGAGGCTAAAGATTTATCTTTTATAAATAGGAAGAACGGAAGTCAAAGAATACAAATTTACCAAGTTCAAAGGACGTCCATTGTTTGTATAGCAAGAGAACACGTGAGCTAAAATGCTTTATATCTTCTATTATGGCCTCAGCCTACTTATATTCCTCTGACAAAGTTAATATTTGGTTCCCATAATAGAGTTTTTGAACATTTTTCATGTTGAAAAACTCGATTTTTATTCAATCCAATTTTTGGAGTCAGTTGTTAGATGAAATAAATAAGCATGATTGAATCTAAAATATTATGCCTGTAAACAGCTTGTAAGATTGCACTTCCGTCAAAGAAATCTATCATCGGGAGGTGAACTGGCTTAATAGGTCATTTCCTCAGAATCTCTCAAAACAGGTTTCATCCCATAATGTACAACTTCAAGTATATGAGAACATGATATAGTTTGTGTGTGCACTTATATGTAAACAGTTGAACTATACATTTATCACAAATCTCCTTAATCAAATCTGATTGACAAAAATGATGGAAGCATGTCCATCAGAACTCCACCTATATTACAATGAAAATCATTGTACCAAACATACAGTTTGGTAAAAGCAACTTTCCTTAAATTGTTGTAGTAAGCTTCCAGTAATCAAAGTTTTGAAATTGGTTACAGCGGGCTACATTATACTGCGAGGGTGGTGTGAGAATCCAAATAATTCTAGCAACACCAGGAAGTTTCCCATCAATCACAAGGACTCAAGGTCTGCACCCAAAATGAAATTGAAGCGACAGGGAAGCCATGAAAAAAGATCTAGCAAGAAAGATAACAAAATGGTTCTTTGGTTCGAAGTTGATGACACAGGCTGTGGTATGAACCTTAGTGTTAAAAACACATTTTAACTTACTGTATTGTTTCATATTTAGTTTCCAAGCACTTCAATTTATCTTTCTTTTTAACTTATTTCTTTTCTGTAGGTATTGATCCAACCAAATGGGAATCTGTGTTTGAAAGCTTTGAGCAAGCTGATCCTTCAACAACTCGATTGTAAGCTATATATACAAACTTCTCTCTCCCTCAATGATAGGTGTTTGTCAATTGGACTGATGAATTAATGAACATGCAATGCAACCAATTGTGCTGTTAGATGAGGGTGTTATTGTGTGTATCTGTTATGCAACTGTTTGAAATTATCAAACAATATGTTGCAGAGAATTCTAAACCTTTTTTGTTATTTTCAGGCATGGTGGTACCGGTCTTGGCCTATGCATTGTTCGAACCTTGGTGAGTGAAAAAGTTTCTTTATGTAAATAAATGTGTTATCACAAATATGCATATCGCCTTTACATAAATGCAACAGAGCTTAATTTGAATGGCAGAAAGAGACCACGTACTCTTGTCCTTTTGGCATTTAGAATTCAATGAGTTTGCAAATTGGAAGTCAGTCCAGACCACTACTACTCGTTTGTCTCAAATTCTGGAACTATGTATTATTTCTTATGATTGGAGGGGCGGTGACAGGTCAACAAGATGGGTGGAGAAATCAAAATTGTGAAAAAGGATGGACCTGGGACTCTAATGCAACTATGCTTATTTCTAAGCACACCTGTAGATGTGCCAGGGCAGCACTGTCATCTAAACTTTGCAGAACATAACTTGAAGGTAAGCACCTTTCTGTGCCATAAAACACTGACGAAAAACAGAAATAGACCTCATATTGAACACTACTGAAATCCATCTTCGTTTGGGTGAAACAATCTTGATTAATTTTGACATATCTACCCAAGATATGGACATCAATGAGGAATATATTTGCAATCTGAATGCAGGTATTGCTTGCACTAAATGGCAGAATGATCAGGTTGATCATGTCCCGATGGTTACAAAAAAGTGGAGTTCAAACCTGGGAAGCATCTGAGTGGAATGAACTGACACGGATTCTTCAGGAACTCTTTCAAGCCGAAATTTATTCTCCAAGTTCACCAAGTGAATATTCAGAAGCTGAAGATTTAAATGTACAGGATATGAGAACCTCAGTTCTCATTATAGTTACTGATATTGGGCTACTTGATTTAAGAACAGAAATATGGAAGGAACAGCTCAACTTCCTTGACAAATACTGTGAGAGAGCAAAGTTTGCGTGGATATTAAACCATGACACCTCCAATACCATTAAGATGGAGCTCCGCAGCAAAGGACATTTGTTGATGGTTAACAGACCACTATACAAAGCAAAAATGATTCACATTCTGGAAGCTGCCATTAAGGAGAGAGATCTTGACCTGCAAAAGAAAATTAATGCTTTAAGCTCTACAATAGTGGAAGTTGGTTTGCATGAATGTGTTGAAACTGGTCCTGGTCACTCTGATGTAGCCAGCTCTGATGATTCTGATAAGTCAGAAATAGGAAGTTCTAATTTTATAACTGCCTGTCATACTAAAGAAAAACAGAGAGAACATCTCACTAAACCCCCTCCCTCACTATACAGTGCAGTTAACAACTGCTTTATTGAGTTAACTCAAGCATATTCAAAAGAAAATGACACGAGAGCGGATGATATAGGACACATGAGATCCCCCTTAGATGAAAATTCTAGGTGCCAGGAACAACATTTGGCTGGCAGTTTTCCTAAAGAGCAAGTTAGTTTGCTTCCGAGCAAAGCTGTGAATGGACAGAAATCGCTTGAAGGGCTGCGCATTTTGCTGGCAGAAGACACACAAGTACTTCAGAGAGTTGCAACCATAATGCTTGAAAAAATGGGGGCTACAGTCGTGGCAGTGGGAGATGGATTGCAAGCAGNCATGAGATCCCCCTTAGATGAAAATTCTAGGTGCCAGGAACAACATTTGGCTGGCAATTGTCCTAAAGAGCAAGTTAGTTTGCTTCCAAGCAAAGCTGTGAATGGACAGAAATCGCTTGAAGGGCTGCGCATTTTGCTGGCAGAAGACACACAAGTACTTCAGAGAGTCGCAACCATAATGCTTGAAAAAATGGGGGCTACAGTCGTGGCAGTGGGAGATGGATTGCAAGCAGTGGATGCTCTAAAAATGATGCTTAGTGAAGATCAGTGTAAAAGGGGATATTCCCTGGAGGATGGTGACACAATTACCACCCAGACACAAGGATGCAATTCTCCAGCGTACGACTTGGTCCTTATGGATTGTCAAGTAAGATATCTGAAGAAAAGGCATAGTTTCTCTCTTAAGTTTTTTACCATTAAGTTAAAGGAATTGGGGAACGAGGAAATCATAACCTCTGCACGNGACACAATTACCACCCAGACACAAGGATGCAATTCTCCAGCGTACGACTTGGTCCTGATGGATTGTCAAGTAAGATATTTGAAGAAAAGGCATAGTTTCTCTCTAAGTTTTTTACCATTAAGTTAAAGGAATTGGGGAACGAGGAAATCATAACCTCTGCACGAGCAATAATTTTGTTTCTTTTTCCAAATTCATAACCAGCAGAGGTTATGAGTGCCTCTTCTGATACTAACATTCCATGATTCTAAAATTTTTACATGAACTTGTATATTAAGTTATGATTTCTCCGTCTTAAAGTTTGATGTCTTTGTAATGAACCAGATGCCAAAGATGGATGGTTATGAAGCAACGAGAGCAATCAGAAAGTCAGAAGTGGGAAAGGGTTTGCACATCCCCATTGTTGCACTGACTGCCCATGCAATGTTATCAGACGAGGCCAAATGCTTGGAGGTGGGTATGGATGCTTATCTAACTAAGCCAATTGACTGCAAGTTGATGGTTTCCACCATTCTTTCCTTAACCAAGACCAGGGCAGCCTAACAGTGCTGCAAATCAGCACAAGTGCATGATTTCACACAAAGAAGAGCTAACAAAATAGTAGTCTTACGCAGAGTTTGGATGTAAAAATTTTGTAATGAGAACAAAATAATGTATTGTACCTCCTTTTGTAGATAAGTACAGAAGCATGTAATCTNAGAAGAGCTAACAAAATAGTAGTCTTACGCAGAGTTTGGATGTAAAAATTTTGTAACGAGAACAAAATAATGTATTGTACCTCCTTTTGTAGATAAGTACAGAAGCATGTAATGTAGGAGTATACATGATTTGAATAATTCAGAATCGACTGGACTGGAATAAAATTGAGTTCTTGCACTAGCTTGGTTTTCCAATGCATGCAATTTGGAAAATGCTATTATGAAGCTATATATGTATTTATAGTGTCTNTGAATAATTCAGAATCGACTGGACTGGAATAAAATTGAGTTCTTGCACTAGCTTGGTTTTCCAGTGCATGCAATTTGGAAAATGCTATTATGAAGCTATATATGTATTTATAGTGTATTTGAGTAGCAGTTTCTCTAAATGAATGTGGTTTTAAACTCTACCAAATGAGATTTCTGGGAAGTTTGGGAGGTTTTAAGAGTCTCTATGCCATTTACTATAGCTGATTTCATTCCACCATCCAACCTTTATGTGATATAAATTGGGGATTATTTGATGCTTGTACAATTGTCATGCAATCAATTTGTAGTAGCTGGTGTAAGAATATAAAGTCTAAGAATGACTAATTCAGATAGGGAGGATGAATACCCTCACTTAGTGTAGGAAATTTGCAGAACAGAACTTGATATAATTGATGAATGGGGAGCTAGCCTTCGAGAATTAAAAATTCTCGTTAATATGAAAGCAGTAGAGTTGGAATTTCCCCTCAATGAATTTTCTCACAAATTTGGGTGTTTTCTTGCTATATTCTCTCTGTATGCAGAGAACCTTATTTATAAGGGAGGATATATCAATCGTTTAACNATTTTCTCACAAATTTGGGTGTTTTCTTGCTATATTCTCTCTGTATGCAGAGAACTTTATTTATAAGGAAGGATATATCAATCGTTTAACTAGCCGTTGCATAATATCCTCAACTCCCCAATATTTTCGCAACTCTATCAATATTTTCTTAACCCTCTGCAGTCAACGAAGGCTAATTATACTCTAAGTAGGATTGACTAGTTTTTCACTACTTGATGGGTCCATCTAGTCAAGTCACCCATATTGACTAGAAAATATCCAACCCAAACATCAAATTATATCAATGTAATACATATGTATGCATACATCATTATAAAATAATATTTGATACATAATAATTTCACAAAAAAATGCATCTATGATATATGTCATGAATAATGCAATATTTGACCAACGGATTTGAGTTTTATATATTCCGGATTTGACCATTAACTGTGCTTAATTAATATCGAAGGATTTTAGCCACATATTCCAACATCTCCCACTTGGCTACATGCCCGAGATATTCATTCATCACTTAAACTCATAGCAACGATATGTCGTTTAAATTCTTCGGTTTCAATAGATGTTGTCAATGGGTCTGTAACCATATTTTTTGTACAAAGATAATCAATAGTAACATGTTCTTTTTGTATTATATCACTTATATAGTGATATAATAACTCAATATGCTTATCTTTGGGTCCGATTTCTCCATTTTTAATGGTTTTTATCGCAACCTCATTATCACAAAAAATATGAATAGACATATTATTTACACAGGTAAACTTTAAATTACTTAGAAACCATTTCAACCATACGGCCTCAGAAACAGTTATACTACATGCAATAAATTCAGTTTCCGTAGTACTTTTAGTTATACAACCTTGTTTTTTACTAGACCACGAAATAGCACCACTACCACCAAAAACAAGTATATAACCCGTGGTGGATTTTTTATTATCAATATCATAAGCAAAATCAGCATCACAATAACCATTAACATTTATATCATTAGCTTGATATGTTAAAGAAAAATCTAACGTGCCTTGTATGTATCTAAGTACACGTTTCAAAGCTAACCACTGAGGTATACTTGGATTACTTTGATATCGACTAATCAAACCAACAACATAGCTAAGATCCGGTTTAGTCACAACATAGCATACATAAGACTACCAATAACTTCCGCGTAAGGTTTTGATTTCATTTTTTGTATTTCTTCTTCAGTTTTAGGAGTCATATTCTTAGACAATTTTGCTCCTTTATAAATGGGTGATTCAATAGGTTTACAAGAATCTATTTTAAATTTCTTTAAAATATTTTCCAAATAAGATTTTTGAGATAAACTCAATTTTCTTGGATTTCCATCTCTAGAAATTTTAATTCCAAATACATAATGTGTTTCACCCATATCTTTCATTTCAAACTTGGTGTTTAACCAATCTTTTAGTTCTAAGATTCTATTTATATTATTTCCGGCAAGTAAAATGCCATCCACATACAAAGAAAGAATAATATAATTGTTAGAGTACTAATACTAAGGATAGTTTAGGCATTTTCTTTATGTTGTGTTGCCCTACTATATATGACTTATTTTGTGTATTTCTAGATTTAAGATGTGTATTACAGACTTGCTTTTAGAATAATATATTCTCTATTTCCCTTCTCTATTCTCATTGATCAATTTTATCATGGTATCAGAGCAATTATATTTCAAGACCTAAGCTTACATAAAGTAAAAAGATGAAGGAATTTTTTCTGGGTTGCTGAAGCATGACGTCAGCATCGGCAGAAATGACGTCACGATGATGTCATTCTTTTTTGACCGTGAAGACCACTGCTAGACTTGAAATTTCATGGACGTTCTGCTAGTATGGTTCATTTTTTATTTTGAGCTCATCTCGTATGTGTTTCTATTTTTTGAATATTTTTGACCCAAATTCTCAAATTTCTTCAACCTGTCAAAACTTGGGTTGTTTGCTACAACTTTTGGTTCAAATCGTCACTAAGGGGTATAACTAAGCTTCCATGGTCCCCTCTTGAGAGACTCGAAGCTTTTGAAGCATTTTTTTGGCTTGATTTTGGCCATTCTAGGGTTTCGGTATAGCTGTCGTTGTGGTTCTGGTGACACTAGTTCCTGACGTCGTGGCTACCCTGTGGGTTTATTGCTATGCTTTGTGGGTTGCTTTGATCTTCAGATCTTCGACTGAGGTGTGGGTGGTCTTCTTGTTGTAGCTTCGGCATTCTGGACTTGTGGCTTCTGCATTCTGGTCTTGCAGCAATGTTATTGCTTCGGTAGTTGGTTTTTGTTGTTGATTGTTATTTGGTGGCTGCTGGATTTTGATTGTTGATTATTATTTGGTGTTATTGCTTTATTTGGGGCTGCTAGGTTTTGATTGTTTTGACTTTGACTGTGGTGTCTATTGATAATTGTTACTACAATGGCAAGTGGAAACTCTAATTCACTTCAAGCCATTAGTGTGAGACTAATAGGTGAAAATTATGTTTATTGGGCTTATGTTATGAAAGAAAAATTATTGGAGAAAGACATGTGGAATTATATTAGTGGTGTTGTACAGGCTCCAACTACTACTAAGGTAGAAAATTATGTTGATTTGAAGAGTACTTGGGATATCAACAATGTGAAAATTATCACCTGGATTAATAACTTAGTTGATCAGACTATTGGGGTTCATCTAACCAAGTTTAGCACAGCTAAGAAAATTTAGTATTATTTGACCACACTTTTTGTCCAGTCTAATTTTGCAAAGAGATATCAGTTAGAGCAAGAGATTCGAGATGCGCGTAAAGGGGACAAAAACATACAAGAATTCTACTCAGTTATCACTGACTTCTAGGATCAGCTAGCACTTACTGAATTCATTGAGTTGAGCACTACTCTGACATATCGCACCTTCAAAAAGGAACAGAGGCTGGTGCATTTCTTGTTGGCCCTTAGAGATGACTTCGAGGGACTTCGTAGTTCAATTCTTCATCGTCACCCGACTCCCCTCAGTGGATGCAGTTGTTAATGAGCTCTTAGTTGAAGAAGTTCACCATAAAACCCTTTTTGGAAAGGGTCTTCTTCCACTGCCAAATCAGACTGTATTGGTTGTTCCTTTTAAAGTTACCTCTAATTCTAATTCCCAAAACAAATATCGAGGCCGAGTTGCTTCTAATGAGTGTAGTTTCTATCGTGAAAATGGTCACTAGAAGGCCCAATATCGAAAGTTGATGAACGAGAATGCACGAGGATCTCAAAATCAGTCATTTAAGTCCAAAGATCGACATATAGTGGCCGTAGCACCACCAATGGATAAGTCAGCCTCATCAGCTCCCAACCTGACTATGTTTGCAGATCAACTACAGAAGTTTCTCTCTCTTCATCAGTCTGGTGCTCTCACAGTTTCTTCCATTATAGGTTCATTCAGCTTAGGTCCTTCAGGTATATCTCGAACCATCTGGGTCTTTAACTCAAGTGTCACACATCATATGAACAGTGACTCTTCTTTATTTGCATATATTGTTTCTCCTTCATCTTTATCTGTACTTGTTGCCAATGGTTCTCAAATGTCATTAGTTGGTGTTAGGACAATTATTTATTCCAATCTTATACTTGCAGATGTCTATTATATTCCTCAACTAACTTTGAATTTACTTTCAGTCAGTCAACTATTTTATTCTGAATTTTTGGTTCATTTCTCTTCCTTTGGTTGTGTTGTGCAGGATCCACGGTCCAAGAAGCTGATTGGGATAGGTCATAGAAAGGGCAGGTTATATGTGTTGGAGGAGCTTCATGTCCCAGATACTAATGTTGTTGTTTCTACTGTTGATTTATCTTCTTTTTATTTGATTCCAAAGTCATCTAGTTTTTATTTATGGCAATCTCGTCTCGGTCATGTTTTTTATTCTTGTTTAAAATTTTTAGCTTCGATTGATAGTTTGAGTAGTGTAGAAATTCATGACATTTTTTATTGTGGTGGATGCAAGTTGGCTAAATTTAATGCATTGTCGTTCAATAAAAGTGTTAC